TTTTTGTGGGCCCCCCAATTTCTCTCTAAAAATTAATGAGAGGACAATGGGTCGTTCCAGACATCGGTTTCAGAAGAACAGTGGAACCTTGATTAAAACGTTGATTGGCGCGAGGGAAAAACATATAAAGTAGTGTAGAAAATGATATGCTGTGCTCAGCTAAAATGATCGCAAACGCTTTAAAATGAACAAACAAAACCTGGAAAAGACGTGGAAGAAAGCGAAGAAAAACTACCATTCCAAATGGATAGGAAGAATAGCCAAAATTGGCAAGGGACTCGGCCCCCCAACAATCAGCTCCAGGAAGAATCAAAGAAGGTCTAACGTTACCTGTGATAACTGATACAATTAGAAGCACACCTCAGTAGCCGCACCGCGCGGAATAGCCCCAGCCCCTCCCAATCTGGCACGAAGCCCCCCGCAAAGTCCCACGTTTTGAAAAAGAGACGTGCTTTGAAGAGGTTTACAATTTTGCCAAAGAGTTACATTGACTGGCCTAAAAGAAAGAAATGGCGCAACATTATGTGGACTAATGAAAGTAAGAGTGTTCTTTTTGGGTCTAGTGGCGAGAGTACAGTTGTCAGACGACCCCAAACACTGAAATTTCAAGCCACAGTACAGACTGTCGAAGACAGTTGACAGCATGGATGCGCAAGCATCATGATCATGCAGATGTTTCATCATACTACAGGATGTTGGGCCCTATTTATCGCATTCCCCGGATCGTGGATCAGTTTTGAATACATCAGAATACTTGAAGAGGTCATGCTAGCCCGTTATGCCGAAGAGGACATGCCCTTGAAATGGGTGTTCCAACAAAACAAACGGACCCCCAAAACAACACCAGGAAAACGTGCCAACATCTTGGTTCCAGACCAAACAAGATTGACAGTTATGGAGTGGCCAGCCCCAATCCCCGGATCTTCAATCCAATAGAAAACATATGTGGGGTGACATCAAAAATGCAGTTTCTGAGGCCAAAACCAAGAAATAGAGAAGAAACTGTGGAAAAAACAAAACAAATAAAAGAAAAAAAAACCAAATAGTAGTCCAAATCTATCCTGGGCTGGAATACCTGGTTCACCAGGTGCCAGGTAAGATTAGGTTGACTCCAATGCAACACAGATGTACAGCAGTTCTCAGAACCAGTGCATATAACAACTAACTATTCAATTAAGTGATTTTCAAAAGGAAATCAAAATCTTCAAACATTTTTCAGTTTATATCTAGTGAATGTTTGAGTTTGTAAAGGAAGAAATACAAACACTGCTATTTTTTTTGAACAGTCTAATATTCACTTTTTTTCACAATTTTTTTAGATGAACAAACACAAAATTGATCTATTTTTCTTCATGTTTTGAATTTTGGAATAGAATGTCGTAAGTGATCCCCAATGCAATTTGTTCTGGGGGGTGGGTGTGGACAATAAAAGACTGATAAGAAGGATTTTGAGCTTTATTCATCCTTTTTTCAACCACACGAATTATTTTTGGAACACAACTGTTAACAATCATGAGCTTGCACGTGTACTGCAATACATGTGTTTTTGTTGTACATTGAGATGCCTCAAATAAATACAAGAATTGGTATCAAAAAAGCAAACGTTATTGATTATCCCATATATCCTCTAAGATGGAGGAAGTTAACTATAAACTTCTGAGTAGATGGCTCTACACACCAGTCAAACTTCACTCCATGTTCCCAGACTCCTCACCTTACTGCTGGTGATATTGCCTTTTTGGAGGAGTTGTTATCACTGATAGATTAAGATTCAATGCTATTGAACTGAATCAGTGGTCAGTGTTATTTCATTCTACAAAAGATTCAAACAGGTCGATATGAGTGCTCTATCACTCCGCATCTTCTTAGTGTGGCTAAATGTCTCATACCCGCACAACTGGAAACAAACCCTCTGTTCCCGCTGTCATTAAATGGTTCCAGAAAATAAACAATATCTGTATGCTATATGGAAGACCCACACAGATGATTAACATGATTCCCATAATCAATGTAGCTCCCCTCTAGTTAGCCAGGGGGGAACTAGCTAGGTTTTAGCTGAGATGAGTTAGCCTGGGATAAGTTAGCCAGGTAACTTTAGGTCATGGCTGAGGGCTCTGCAGGTAAGTTCCCTGATACCTGCTCCTACTCTAGAAGTCTGAGAAGTTTCTAGAAGGCAGTGGGTGGGTGTGAGGAGGGGCTGATTTGAATATGTGAGGGATCTTGACCAATCACCAAGCAGGAGGCTTGGCATGGGTCAGGACAACCCTCACATATGACTGAGCCTGATCAACAGGAAGGGATGAGTGTCGGGTGGAAGATGATGTGAGAAGGCTGGAGTGTGGAGCCTGGGAGGGGTCCCAGGGAGGGTGTCCACGTGCAGGGCAGGATCTTGAAAGGAGGATCTCTGAGCCTCAACTGACACCTGAAAGAGGACAGCTTGGGAAGTAGGGAAGGAGCCAGCCCAGCGTAAGCCCTGAAGACAGACACCAACCCACACGATTACAGGAGAGGACTGAGTGAGTAATCCTGCACCCCCTGGGCTGGATAAGGGGAGAGGGCAGTCAGGTGGCAAACCCAACTAGCTCCTCGTCTGGGGCTGCTCTACTACAGTGGCAGTTTCTGGGGCCACTGCTCAGGGATTACCTCAGGCAGCTGGGTGAAGAGGAGGATTCATCTGGGGTCTGAAGAGGTACACCAGAAGGGTTCGAGAACTCTTCAAGGAGAGACTATATGTCTATGGACTTGTACATAGTTGCTAAGGAGATTTGTCCTCAAGTTTGCAGTTCCTTGGGCATCCCATACACCCCTCAACCCCATCCAAGTTCAATACCCCTTAAAAAAATCACAACAAACAAGCTCCAGGACAGTTTACCTTCTCCAGTGTGCAAGTTTTTGAAGAAAATGCATGTTGCCTGGCTGTGCAGGACTATAGGGGACCCAAAACTCAGTGACCCCTAAGGAGTAGTGTTACATCAACACAGAAAAATATGGGCCTGCTGATTCGTTTTCAAAACGTCTACCACTTACCTTGATATTGTCTCTAAAATTGCATAATATTTGTTCATGTGGATCATTATGTTGTACATTGGATTCATCATATTATATTTAACAAAAGGTTGAGATGGGGACCCCCTGCCTCTCCCCTTACCTCCCACCTACCTACCACCATCCCCTCTCTCTCTATCTTTCCTTTTCTTTGTGGTGTCAGCATATTCAGCATATTTCACCATTATACTTTAAAGGCCCCTTTCACACAGCAGGTCTACTCATGTCCACTTCTCAGTTTTTCAGTCCATTCCCACCCTATGGACAGGCGGGTGTAAAACACACTTGTGTTCATTTACACCTGCCTTCCTCCTGGTCCGATCCTGCCTGATATAAAAAAAAGTAAGGGAATCTATCCCCCTCTATTTAGGCAGATTGGATTGGAGTGCACATAGTACATAGTTAGTCTGGTTGAAAAAAGACACAAGTCCTCCAGTTCAACCAATAAAAAGGAGAAAAAAAAAACTATTTATACAATCCTATGTTGCACTACCCCATTAGGAGTTGCAATAGATTTGGATAAACTATAGTCCGTCACAGTTTTCATTCAGCCAGGAGACAGTGACCAGTCCTTGAGCTTGTTCTGATGTTTTATTAGGGGATGATAAAACTTGGATAGGGTGAGGGGTGTACAGGATGCCCAAGGAAACTAGAACTGAGAACAAACTTCCTGAAACTATTTACAAAGTCTTTACAGCAAAAATCCTCTTCTGGAGAGCTAGCCATCCTCTCCTGTTGTACCGCCACAGACCCCAGATCTTCCTCAATTCAGGAGCTCTGGGTGAATCCCTTGACAAGGGATCCATTTATTCAAAAGATATACTGTTACTATGTTAGTGATCTTTATGAGACTGCTGCATGATATTTGTAATACATTGGTCTTTTCCTTTGGACCTTACTTCATCACCTTGTTTTTGCATATATATTCTTTTGTTGCAAACATATATCAAACAAAATAAAGAAGAATCGGCTGCCCACACACAAGAAATTGGTTCTGTACAATTTGTTATGGCAAGCAACCTACAGAGTATATCCATCTGTGCATTGCTCTATAATGGAGGTGTATTGTAAGGCAACATAGATGTGTTTTGCGGAGTAATTAACTTTGTAATGCAACACACCACATGGCACACCTAAAATATGTTACTAAGCACTACGGTAACATAATGTTGATCTTGAAGTCTTTCCCTGCCATAGACTGCGCTGTGAAATTAATAACTTTTAGATGCATTTGGAACGTGTCTCCACTATATTTTAGCCTAGAGCAGCTATTGTCAACCAGGATTCCGTGGATCCCTAGGGTTCCTGCAGAGGTTGGTAGGGGTTCCTCAAGCTGTGGCTGATTGACCTCCCATTAATGGTGCCTTCATAGTTCCAGGGCCAACAACACCTGGTAAAGTCAGAAGCAAGACACTAATTATGTTTTTCGCTGTAGGTAAGGATGGTATTATGAAAAGTACTGTAAGGGTTGAATTCTTTCTACTGACTCCCAGTGCAAGGGTCCTTTTTCCTCCATTGACTCCTGTTGAATTGGTTTTAGTAAGGGCCTCTTAAAACTTGACACCTATTTTAGGGGTGCTTCAAGGGTTGAAAAGGCTAAGAAAGGCTGGTCTAGAGTGAGTGCCAATGGAAAAAAACAACCAGTGGTTTCTTATGTTTCAATGAAGGTTCCACAAATAAGGTCTCTCCATGTAGTCTCCCAGCTCTGTCTCCCAATGCCATTAAAAAACCAGCAAAGAGTTTAATTTTCTCCTGCTGTATCTGCCACAATTCATTTGAATAAATATGTGTTTTTTTCTTGCATGAGTGATTTAGAATGGTGGTTAGAGATGAGCGAAGTATTCAAAAATTCGATTCGACTGATTCGGCGAATTCGTAGAAAAAATTCGATTCGAGTCGAATATATTCGCTGTGAATTTAACTTAAAAAAGGTGTTTCTAGGCTTCAGAGAGACTTAATATTAGTGCTGAACACTGTACCTTTAATTTAAATGCCCTTGGAGTCTGCTGGGGAAGAGAAATAATACTGTCAGGCAGTATGACATGCAGATTGAGTGCCGTCGATCTTAGAATCACCGCACACTTCACTCATTTGGCCAGTCACGGGGCCAAAACCAGAGTGTGGAGCCACAGTGTGGCGGTGGAGGCAGCAGCAATGGGAGGCCATGCAGCACCCTATGACAAAAAATGGATGGAAACCACCAGCAGTGTGAGGAGACCTGAAAGTGGCACATGGCAGAGTGTGGCGATAGAGACAGCAGCAATGGGCAGGCCGTACAGGGACCCCATGACACACTCTGGACCTGGCAGCAGCATGAGGAGGCGGTACAGGGGCCCATGGCAGATTACGGGCCTGGCAGCAGCATGAGGAGTCGGTAGGGGGGCCCATGGCAGATTACAGGCCTGGCAGCAGGCAATGGGAGGCCGTACAGGGACCCATGACACACTCTGGACCTGGCAGCAGCATGGGGGAGGTGGTACAGGGGCCCATGACAGATTACGGGCCTGGCAGCAGCATTTGGAGTCGGTACGGGGGCCCATGACACAC